AAATACAGGATAATTTCAGATAACCCCTCAGCCTTATTAGTAGAAATCTGGGGCGTTGTCAGACCAGCATGACTATTACGTATTCAACTACCAGAAGCTTCAGGGTGTATAATTTGTACAGCACAACCAAGTGGCAAGGATGTTTCGCGAGGTTCCCATCACAGAAGTTCTGGAAATTACAGAAATGTAGAGGGTCACATAATGTGGACCATGTTCTTTTAAATTCGGGAAATTTGTACAAAACATATCAGAATTCCGGCAGAATTCCTAGTTATACATGCGTAAAGTTCAAAGGGGGTTCGGAGGTAGTAAACTCATTCGTGATGGAGCAAAATGACAGGATTTAGCCACTCTAACTAAAGTTAACTTCTTGCAAAACAAAAGATTTTTGATTATAATCTCTTACAAAACTGTCTGATTAAAACCCATAATCAAGTCCATCGTGTTGGAATAGATATATATTACTTAGTGGTCGCTTTGAACCCAAATTCAGAATAAAATTAATCCGCTCTGGAAAAACAGCGTTCATAAAAGGCTATCGGACCGAAAACTTTTAAATGTCAGCCCCTCATCTGAGCAGAACCAAATTACAAAGAATTTAGTGACTGATGTCTACAGATTGGTAACTACACTTATGATAACATATTACAGTTATTATTATCGTTATATATCTATTCAAATTGTGTGTGTATTAAGCGGAGATAATAGCACCAGAAAACGTATCATATTGTCCAAAGGCTGGACTGATAAACTTGTACTAGAAAGAAAATACCTTTTGGTTTCGGTTCCTCACTATCTTCTGAATTCTGAATACATGGTGCCTTATTGAAGTCAGGGGTTACCTTGAGAGAACCTGGTTGGTTATCCAGTACACAATGTTTAGCCGCATCACCTAGCAGTCACCTCACAGTAGAGATGACACATGCAGTCCCGAAACTTTCCGCACTTTGTAATTCTACCATTAATGTGCGTACACAGTGTTTAAAATGAAAACTTTTATTCCAATACACTTATTGTATGCCTCCGCTTGTCCTTACTCCGATGAGACATTATTCCGGACTCGCTCATTTGCAGCATAGCTGTGTTCAAGTTACTTTGGCGGTGAGATAAGTTTTTTTCTTCTGGTCTGGATAGAACTTGGCCGGGTTTAGAGAGAATGCAGGTCAGATATCAGTTGCCGGAAAAAATCGATCACTCTTAACACAAACAAATAGCAATCTGATGGGCCAACTCTTGTGTGGACAAGCATAGGCTCAATGCATCTTGGACGCCTATACCGTATAATTTGATTCGCTAAAAGTCAGGTTTTACTGTACACTCGGTGGGAGCAAAATGCCTCACGAACTGATGTTGTATTAGTATCAAAATAGCTCGAGTGAAAGCACGAAACTACTAAATGCAAGCCCAGCCGACAAGAACCTCATCTTGTTATTTACACCTGTCCCAGTGACGTAGCTACGAACTATTCGGGCTCATTTTGAGATTTCAGGGAGCTTTCCTATCGCCCACTTAGTTTAGGTAATAAAAGATTTTGAGGTCAGTCGATTTTTAATTTGTTGTTCTTATTGCTGACAAACCGTTCATGTTATTGTACATTTTTCTCAGGAATCGGGGGAATACGAACCTGTAAACTCCAGATAACGAGTTTGTATCGGTTGGGTAGAACTATCTAGTTTAAAGAAACCTCATTTTATTGAAACTATAAACAATAAATACCCATAAAACTACGTAACGATTGTGGACGCTGCTTGGACAAGATTGGCTAAATCATTTTTCCTCGCATTATCGTAAATAAACGGCGACCATTAGCAAGAGCTTTAGTTTCTGTCGATTACTGCTCCATCAACAGATGGCATGTAATCGTATGAAATTATCTTTCATCAAGTTGACAATCAGTGAACGTGCGTCGATGCGCACAATGTGGCAAATTTATGTCAGATTATTTATGACGCTTCTGAAACTACCGGATAATTATTATCACGGATTTTTTCCTGTGAACACCTGAATTTAGAAAAGCCTAGTATTCTTCCAATAACGTATCCTACCTTCTGAATAGACTTATCAGTTAACTAGATGTCAAATGCGTCCCATTGGATAAACTTAGTTACCTTGCCTTCATAATTATTTTGGATCGATTGTCACCGATTGGTTGTCACCTCGAATGTACCTAGACTGATGGTTTGACAGGTAGAGGGCAGTGAAAAAAAGCAGATTCAGAGCATTGTGTAATTCCATTTATGACAAGTGGGTAAAAAGTCAGTTTTGCAAACAGACGGAGTGAGCGGAAGGTTGTCATGTATTGTACCTTTCACAGAGTTCACATAGAAGCAACGTTGAGGAATAAATGACGAAAGGATCTTACAAAGTAACATTAGACAGAGTGACGTATTCCATGTACCCATGGAGGTTTTAGTTCAATAGTTTCTATTCAACCACCTCCATCTGTCACTTCGAATAAGAGAAGTTTGTGATCGAATTCGTTGCAAGATTCCGAGGGTGTTGTTTAGCAACATAGATGTCACCCACCGGAGAGACTAGATGGAGTGGGAAGGACGAAAAGCAGACTCTTCCGACAGATCTCTCTCGAAGCAGGAAGAACAAAAAATCAAACATGGAAGACGGGTTATTACTGTGTTACGATAGTTGAGGTGTGAAATATTCAAATCCTCTTCAGATGCGAATGGTCTCAGTTTGACTATTGTGTTGCTACAGTGACTGCTCATCGAACGAACTAATAGTCGTTACGCTACCTAGATTACCAGAATTTTCCTCAGTAGCTGGGGAAATGCCGTAACGAAGGGAGGAAACATTACAGTGGCACCTCTATAACCCAGTAGGCTAATAAGAGTAGTGTAAACATTACACACACAGCCTGTCACAGCAGGGTAGTCAGGGATTCTAACACCGGCTCTTCGCCGTTCTGGTTGGTGAAATGTGCAGTAACGTGATCCTTAAAAGACTGTAGACCCCTCCAGTAGTCTTACGTCAACCACAACTGCCCTGATGTTGAAATTTAATCCAAAGTATCTGCTTATGGACCCCACTCGTCCTCCAGTGCTGGTTTAGGGGGCTTGGCAGTATCCCAGCCCATCTTCAACCACGAATAATAAAACTATAAATGGCCTCGATCAACACGCCGTATGGTGCTATCAGACGGGTCAACTTATTGGCTGTATACAACAATGCGGACAAGTGCAAACAGGCTACTACAGGCTACTACAAACAGGCTACTACTACAGGCTACTACTCCCACCCCTCATCACGTTCCTAGCGCTGAAGTCGTCAGCCCATATTTAAGGGTCAACAAGTCTACTGCCTTCAAAGTAGGTCATCTGCAGTGTGTACCCTCAGTCACCAGGGCCTTAGACACTTTGAGATAACTGTTTAAACACCGACGTTCAGTTCACCTGGCAGGTTTTAGCACTCGAACTCTGAAACAGACTAGACAGTGTTCTGCACCTGTTTGTATACTGGACTAGCTTTCTAATGACATATTTTGTTGCAACGAGGATTGAAGTTGCAGGGACCGTACCATCAGTTTGCTCTCGCATCCAGTTGCACACCTCCGTTATTCGGAAGCGATTGTGGTAGTTTTCTTTGGATCCGGCACTGGTCTAAACCATTAAACTAAGAAGCTCCTGCTTGATCTGTCTAAGGACATATAAAAGGGCAGCCCGTAAAAACGGAGAATAACGCTGCCCGTCCATTGCATCCGCTTAGGCATTATTACTGTCGTGCTTACCTAAGATGTGAATAGGAACGTAGGTAGACTTGGATCTCCTGAAGCTTAATTCGATTGTCGTTTTGGACTAGAATCTCGACCAACGGCGAGTGCCTGTTATAGGTATGTGCTGACTTCACACTACTTCTGAGCGGTGCCAACTTCCAAATCAAACGAAGCCGCACCCAGATATGCAGCCCGACTTCCAACACCGCGGGCCGCACAGCCACTAGCTCCAAGTATGGTGGATCATTTATTAATTGTCGTTCATCTGATCAATCGCTTACGAGCTGTTACCTTTACTTGCGACTTTAGGAAGTATGCAAAATGCGAATACATCATTTGGCTATTGAGCACATGATGCAAACTTACCAAAGCAATTACAGAAGTCCCTTTCAGACCAAACCATCTTCTGATGATGGCTGTTAACGTGAATTTCCTGCGGGGCGCTGGGTATACGAGACAGCGAAACCAAATACCTCAAAGCATTCGACCTCGAGCAAAACTGTAAAATTGCCCAAAACTCGGACAGGCATTTAGAATGGAACATGTCCCCACGAAATTTAAGAAGTCAGCCGACAAAACCAACTTCGCATCCTGAGAATTGTGGTGGATCTATAAAGCTGAGCAGTTAGAGGAAGCGAGAAACCCTGGTGATGTGCGAAATCCACTTCAGGTGTTATGCGAGTCCATTTCAAACCGGTGAACAAAGCACTCAATTACAAAACGATAGATGGTGTCTAAAATAGAACGCCCGCAGCTTCCACTCTGAAATGGTGGATCTATAAAGCTGAGCAGTTAGAGGAAGCGAGAAACCCTGGTGATGTGCGAAATCCACTTCAGGTGTTATGCGAGTCCATTTCAAACCGGTGAACAAAGCACTCAATTACAAAACGATAGATGGTGTCTAAAAAAGAACGCCCGCAGCTTCACACTTTGAAAGACAAATCAGCTGGTCACGTGCTATTGCTCGATCAAATTCTGTAAAGATGCCATGAAATGTAAACTTCAAAAGTATATGAACGTGATCTTTCCTTTAAGCATCACGTAGCTGCTCGTCCTAACGAGCCCACCGAGCTCTAATAAAAGGTATTTGTGAATTGTCAATCGGTGTTTGTCCGAATTCTTGGCTCTAGCTGGGTAAAAGCCAATACCGGGATGAGTAGATAAATGTGTCTATTTGGAAAAAATGTGTTCATAGTGAAGGTGCCTATCACAAAGTATTAGCTTGACCTCGTATTTAGACTCTGGTTCGCTTATTTGACTTCGTCTTAAAAAGGCGCATAAAGAAAGTTCCAGAAAACAGCTGCAGGATTCTAGCTTGGAGAGGAGGTGGGTTGTGTGAACCACACCTACACAGTCCATCGATCACTACAGCAAAGTTCCACGTGTAAGCGCCCTATAATTTTGGTGTTCTTTGACTTCAGGTGCCTGTTAGATTCTGTCGGCTAGTTCACTCTTTTCGGTGCGTTTGTAAAAAATAACTTTGTGAATCTTATACGCTCTTTGTACTCAGTAAGAATGGGTGTGTGAGTGTGAGGGGAGCTCTTCGAAATCTCTCCTCCGACCTGCGGGGTCCAATAAGAGTGGCTACTTCCTCCGATGTGTTTGATTTCGTCACTCAAGAGCCAATGGATGGAACTCTGGAAGGTATCCAAAACTCAGTGTTCATATCTCCCTGAGAAAGTAACTTGTCGATCCTAATATCCAGTTGTGAACAACAGTAGGAAGCGCAAGCATTCCTAGAAAAGCAAAACAAGATCACTCGGAACTTCAGCAGGTGCTACGCCCCCACAAAATTCAGTAAACATGTCTCTAGGACCTCAAGGAATCACACAAATTCGTACAACGCAATACGTTTCTCTGAAGTTGCATTAACTCTGACGGTAGTGTGGCAGGCAGAATGAACGCATGTTTGTCAAAGGTCAGAAGTGCTTCCACCAAAGCGCGTCACGTGTGTTGAGAGTTAGATTGTTATACGCTTGCGAGAAATGGCCACTCCGAGCGCAGAAAATGAGTTCTGAGGTCTTTTAACACCAAGGTCTAGGAACAGTCGCTAGAAACGGATGTAACAGAGAGTTTTCGGTTCAGAGAACAAGATACGGGTCTATACTGTAGCAGAAGGTACTACGTTCAAGGACTGTGTCCACTGCAAGTTAAGGTGGCTGGACTATGTCTTAGGCGTGCCAGTTACCGCCTGTCTAAAAGAGCGTCTTCCTCTGAGCTTGAATCGGAGTGGCAAACGAAGAGGCATACGGAGTAAGACATAATACAGGGCAATAGTGTTAAGGAGGGTGTATTGTTGTTGGTCCTGTACGCCTTCTAGTATAAAGTTCACGTGATTCTTCTTTTACATCATTGGAGGTATGGCGGCTGACTGGTGTCAGAAGCGTCCATGCTGGCATTTTCTATCCAGGTAGTCCGACCGAATGTTGGAATTGTAGTAACTTCGAATGTGTGTTCATCATAAGGTGATATTCCCATACAGCAGTGAAACGCCAATTTTTTCTGCTGTTGCTGTCAATGATGCTGATGATGACGATTAATCCGAAAAAATCGATAAATCACGATCTAGGTGTGAAAGGTCAGAGAAATTCGGGGCTTTCTGAATGGATTTCTGCACACTTAAAGATGTGAGAGCTTTTTTGCCGTCACCGGAAAGACTACCAAATGTCCGCCATCCTGTTCGAGATCAGAAGGAATAGGATGCTGCGTGCAACCAATGGCTGGACTTGTTTTTAGCTGATCGCTTGAGCTCATAATGAGCGAATGAGGAAACATCACAAAACGCCATGTTTATGTTATCCGAAATCTCGTGTCACCTTTGCCGAAGATAGTAGGGACACTTGAACGCGTGTTGAACATGCAGCACGAACTATTTTTTATTCTCTTCTAAAAGGTATTTTGACCAGAAAAGTGGTTGGTTGATATTGGGTCGCTCCCCAGTCCTCAGAATCCAAAAGGGCTTTATGGTGACATTCAAACCTATCCGTTTGACGGAGAGGTTTTTCTGGTAGGCAGTAGACAGAGAACTGTATCTATCAGTTTTTAGTTCGTGCAATTTCGAAGGGGGACATTTTAAACTGACATCATTTTTCTCTGAGGTCCCCAGTCAAATACAGGCCAAGACTTATTGGGGAAGTCCATTAGCGTCATTAAATTGGTTTGCTTCGTAGACTATTCCGATACTACGTTAAACAAAGCTGTTCCAAAAAATCATGTGTTCAGAGCTACTTAAGATATTGACGTAGCTAGAATGGGGTGCCCGTTTTTTTCTGGTATAAAACTTCATAGAATGATATCCAAGTGTGACCAGACCTAAACGCGGAAGACAAGTAGCGTTTCAGTCCCGGGTCGAACAAAATATGGAGAGAAAATCAGGCTTGATTGGAGCTGAGGGGCAGTCCCTTGAGGACCTTGAAATCAAGTGGAAACTGCAAACAAACTAAACAAAATTAGCTTCTTGTTCGAAACAGTCTTCCCTGAGAGTGCTCCAGCCAGAAAGCAAAACGTCAATATTAGAGACATTGTAGGAGGGAGACAGACAGACCGAATGCACCAGTGACGCATATAGATGTAGTGCTCTTTATGGTAACCACAATTAAACGGATTTTCTGCAAGTGCTCTTCATTTGTAACGGATCCTTTTATTGTGCAATTCACAAGTTCGCCTTCTGATTGAAGCGTGTCCATCAAATACCAGCACTGAAAAAATCACGGAGATCGTCACCTGGGGATGACATCCTATGACCTTTACATTCACACGTTGAAGCGAAATGCGGTATCTTACTCACCAGACAGCCGTCTCCGATAACTAATGCTCATATTGGTTATCTTGGCATGTAATCACCCAACCACATGAATGCATGCCCGTCATATTCCACACAAAACACACCTCGATACGACGTCTGACAGCTGTGTGCGCTTTCACCACGCGGGCTACGCCATCAATGTGCCAACCACAAATGACCACGATATACGACCGGCTTTAGTGAATTTTAATTCGAGACCAAGTGCGTCATACATCGGTCATACAACAGGGTTGCTGTGTGGTGGAATTCGAGAACATTGCCATGTCTGGTTAGCCAATGAAATTTTCGAGTTCAATGCCGAACATGATCGATTCTAATCAGTGCGGTTTCTTTCCTCCCGAAGTGTTTCATGTGGTGTGTCCAGCGTCGACAATGCACTTGAAGTTTATACAAGTTCGAATCCTTATCGTTTTCAATGGAGTGCCCATCCGGTTGTACAAATCCAAATTTGTTCTCTGAAACAATTCGTGCAGACGGGGCAGCGGAAAGTGAACTGGAGTCGCTTGACATGATCGTCTAAACTCGAGTTTTTTTTGGTGGACAGTAATCAACATTGTGATTTTTAAATGGCATTTTATCAAAGACTATGTTCATATCCATCGTGATCCCAATGCAGATGCACCTTAGTGTACGCAGATAAAGGGGCCCGCATTGAATAGTCCCCAAATTCTCCATCAAAAAGATTACCAAGTTCCATATAGCCGTTATGGTCATTTGAAAACGGAGCAACTTTTCAACGTTGAATGTTTGTTATGTTCCGAGCGCATATTTGAGGAAAAGCGGTTAAAGTTTCCAAAGGTATCTCACTGGAGGTGTGCTACTGTAGCAGATTCTAGACTCACAACATCCTAGAGTTGAGCAGAAAACCGAACGTAATCCAAAAGCGGATCAAGTTTAGAAGATCACCATGGCTTAATTTGTCCATCAAAGTTGGAAACGGTAGTGTGCCGTTTTTGTCACATACTAAAACAGAATAAAAAATTAGCTACCGGGTTGGCATTTTATCGGTAAACCCACAGTGGTAGGGTTAGTCTTTTGAGGAGTGAAATACCGTGGAACGTATTCCTTCATAAAATCCAGGTGTACGTTCAGACAGGAATGAAGCGACATTTCGAAAGCTATTTACCCAGGACATTAAACCACTGATATAATGGTGAAGGCAAGCTGATCGTTCGAAACACTATTTGAACCGATATATGGTGAACCAGCTTGTGCAAACCGACAACTACGGTACATGTCACCTCAGACATGCACGTGCGAATAATGATCACTGGGTGATTTGAAACTTCGATCGGGTGTAGAAATACCCGTCACCGGGCTCACCTCCAGTGTACAATTCCACAGAGTGTAAAGTAAAAATGGAGTTTGTAATGTACTACTCATAAGGTTGCTGAAAATAGAGTTGTATGCACTGTCCCGTGTACCTGTCATACTTGCCAACTCCAGTCAACTGTTCCAAGTTAGCTTTGTGTAAACAATTCATGAATCCCTCCGGTGAACTGAGCTGAGAGAATCTGAGTGAACCAAATCAAAACTTCCGCCTAGAGTACTGAATTCTCCTGATCTCCCGTTTCTTAGTTGTCCCTTACTAGAAGACATTTAGTCTGTAACATTAAAAAATGTATCTTTTGAAAATCGACACATCACCGCCATTTGTCACCACACGGCGCGGCAGGGAAAAATGCGCGAATATTTATTAAAGTTCATATGCATCCGGTTATAGAGTGTATCCGAATACGCAGACTGGAAATGTGGCAAGTAGACATAAAAAATCAATCTTACTGGGCGATCACATTGGACTGAATATTTGAATGTTCAATTTCGGACGCCTGAAAAACGTTTTTTGGAGTCGTTTTGTAAAGTTTACCTTCACATTTGCAAGGATCACGCAAATTGTCAGGAGTTTCGCCATTCAAGTGGACCCATACTGTTGGACTCGTGTTTTCATCTAATCTGTGTACATATTATGTTGGCTAAGAGCGGAACCGGCGTTAAAGCAGTTAGCAATGCGGTTGTTTGCGAGGAAGCATATGGATATGAAGTCAGCACCCTCTTTATTCGACAGTCTGAGCCCACAGCTCTAAAAGATCGTCAGCTTTCCTTCCGACCTTCGAAGATTCATTTGGGATTCCAGGCAGAGCTCTCCAAAGAACCAGAAAAAGCTGTTCACAACACTATAACAATCAGAGATCCATAAACATTGATCTTCTCTTTTCAAAATGCAAATTTTCACCTCACCGTTCCACGGGATACGTTTCACGACAATTTGGACCTTTTCGAATCCAAACGAATACAAATTCGACAGAGCTCATGCACATCTCGAGAAAGTTTAGTGGTTAAGGGCGAAATGCTGACCGGAAGGCCAACTCACTAATCTCGACTGCCCCTGTCTGGGCTTTTAAAACCTGACACTATCTCAACCCTCATGATCCCTTCGGTTTTCACGGCAGCTAGGCACCGAAACGGTGTTACACCTAAAGAAATCTTTCTCAATAAAATCACTGCCGTTTCACACAAAGTTTGCAGAAGTAGCTCCCATACACAAACAAGGAGCCCCGAAATTTGTGCATGCGTCCACTCAATTTTGCTGTCGGAAGTGATCACTGAAGACCGTATAGGGCCAAACGTCTTTCGTATGACAGTTGCACCCCGAGACTATGTCCTCACTTAGTATTTCCAGCTAGTCAACTGAAATGAGTTGTTTAAGTCAACAATACGATGAAAATTCCGATCAACCTTCAGTGATACACGCCTAATCACCATTGGCGATAGTGTGAAACAACGGCAATAAACTGCTGTACGGACACATTAATTTATTTAAGCAAAGCCCCGTAATGGAGAGAAGAAAAAAAGAAAGTCTACTGTAAACATGAAGACGGCTGTCAACAGCGATAGTGATTTTATGTTCCGGGAAAGCATCCGCAATTTTACCGGAAGCAACAAGTTCCACCAGCTGCGTTCAGTCGGCCCAAATGGCTTTATTCCACCGGCTCTATGTGGGCTTCTTGCGTTTCCTTCGATCATCAGCAAGTTCGATTGGAGTACCCATAATCAGGTTACTTATATTATCGCAGTCGTTTACAGTGACTATCACAGAATGACACGCCTTTGCTGTTGCTGCTCGTAAAATGGTCACAAAAGCCCAGACCTAACAGGATCACGCCTGATTGCAGCTGAACCACACAGATTCAGTTGTCCTCTGAGTGAAGCACTCCCTGCCAAACATGGTACTAAACCCAGCACGCATCTGAGAAACCCACTTCGAGGATTCAGGAGGACATTCTTAATCCAATGCTTCAAATATGGAATTCTGAAGAACTGTTCCCCCAATCATCCAATCAGAATAGCCGTTTGCGGACGTCACCTAGGTATCAACGCTACGAGTCGTAACCAATAAGTTCAAAAAATTCGATAATATACTCAATTGGTCGAAAACCGTTTGGAGCCGTTTGAGTAGCCATTGTTATACAGAACATGGCAACTCACCAATAACGGAAGCGATCTGCAAACAACTATTCAAAAGTGACTCAAAATACATCCCGTCTTTAGTGTCCGCATCTCACTTTCAGACAATACAATCAGGTACGCGACCTAGAATGAAAACTGTCAACAAAAAACAGGTTCAGTTGGAGGCTTCCCGTTGTCTTCATGTCAAACCTTGCATATAACTGAACTTGAATGCACCAAACAACAGACTGTGGATTCTAGCGCTGTTGTTATTCGCTGGTTTCACGTGGCACGAACACATGGTGCAAATGACAAGATGGGGAAAACATCACGATCGATCCTAGTCTGAACAATGAAGTAAGAATACCAAGCTCGCAAGTTGTCAGCATTTCATTTTGCTCGTCAACCGCAAGCTAAAAACATCTCGTACACAGAATAAGGATTAGGATGACAATCGATGAACCAATGAGAGCGACTTTTGTCTCCAAATTATACTATTGTAACGGCATGTGCTACTGTTAAAACCTGCGAGTAGTACCTGATCAGAGAAGTTTAAAGCGCCGTTCCTACGTCCGATGGAAGACTGATTTGAAATCTATTGAACCATTTTACAATGTTTGTTCACCAATGCTAAATATTCAAACAGAGTCCAAGATAGCAAGAAAGGATGCGTCGGGATGTCGGCTTTCTCAAAAAAATGTATAAATGAGGTTTTTGATATCGTGCCCGATAGATTGTAACCCAATAACTAACTCGGTAGCACTTACCATTCCACCATTGTCCATTGTCGCAAGATTTAGTGCACATAAGCAGCTTGGTGTCAACAAGCTACAGTGATCTCGTTCAGTTTACATTGAGTAGGGGACGACATACTGTATTGCTACCAGCAGGTTAGATTTGGCGACGATCAGCTTTTGGTGTAGTACGTGGCTCCGGTGGATTCGCCAACTTAGCGAAAGCAGTATTAGCTGCGAGACCACCTGATACCACCTACTGAACCTCATAATTTATGCCACCTAGTTAGGTGGCCAACTTCCCACCGAGACCAGGTGTTAGGTTCCGTTCCAATAGAAGGCTAATGTACACAACCTAGCGTTGTTAGTTAATGTCACTCTCAAACAGCCAGAGCCAAAATGCAAATAAATCTGTCGCAAATTAAGAGACTTATATATATATATATATTCCACCCAACGCGTTTTGGTTTGCAGTGCACCGAGCACAGTTTATGATAATCAAAAAAATACTGAGGAGCTGTTATCTTAAATCCACTTGTAGACACACCAAGGTTTTCTGTGTAAATAAGGACTTCTTTCGGCGTTTCTCTGTAAACCGAGTGTTCATACGTTTGATTGGAGAGCAAGAGTAAATCAAAACAACAAAAAGTAGCAGAAATATTGTAACCAAAATATGTTTTTCACTAAGGTGCACGCCACCAGCGAGCGGATTCGATCGAGTTGTAGAAGTGGCTAGAACGGCACGTCTGGATTCACAGCGGGGTACGAGGGTCGGGAAAGTACACTGTCCCCAATAAATTGGAGGAAAATGAATTACAATATATTGGATACCAGAGGTAGTAGCAACTTGAATGATGGAACATCAAGTGGATAGCGGCGCATCACGTGATACAGCCGATCATGTTTCGCGCACGCCAACAAAAGCGTGCACCATCGACTTTTCCGCACGGCACATCGGAAGAACAGGTCTCTGGAGATATTCAATTCGTAAACTACCCAAATACGGATATGGTTGTCATTCTGTAAGAGGAAATTCACAGCACCGATCATCAACCAGTGTGCTTTACATCTTCGGATTGTGGCTAACAAATCTCTGACGGGTTACCGATAGTTATGTTGCTGAAGGTGAGAAATGCAGTCACAAATCTGCCAGTAGATACATGCGCTTGTGTGCACAGAAAGGTCTGAGGAATCCGGGTGTTTTAATCGAACCGCGGTAATGTGCCCTCATACACAATTCACGATAATTTAAAGCGAATATCGAACGTGGCACCTCCCAAGCGGTCAGGTGAAATGTGTGAAGGTACTTGTAAGTATCGCTGTCAATTTGAGCTGAAGCGAATATCGTGCGATTATTCAGCTCGAATATAAACTGCATCTCTCATTTACTACAAAGGAAGAGTGTGGATATGCTAAAAACTGCAGAAACTTGGCCGCTACTTAGAAATAATCTCACTAGGAGCAGTGTAAATTCATACAGTGTAGATGGCACGCTGGAAATCGAGACGGGTTTTCCACTGTGTAGGGACTACGGAAAAAACACAAAAAGGACTCGTGTAATTTTAGTGAACCTTATCAGTAGAATGGGGCAACCCCCAATTCAACGGCGAGCGTTAACCAAGGGACTTCTGATTCGAAAAACCTCAATCGTTTTGTAGCCACTGTGAGCATTGGATTAACCCCCATGTCCTAATCACGATAATCGGGGAATTCGAACAGAAAAATTCGCAAGGTCGCATACACCTTGTCGAAAATTTCCTACCGCGTAATTGTGAGATTTCGGTGAATCAATTAAGCCCTTATATCTTTATATTTTATTCTGTAGAAGCTATGGGCGGTTCCTGTGAGGGGCTACATTGCTACAAGCCGCACAGACTGGGTTGAAGTTTCACAGATCTGTCTCTTGCATCGCAGACAGAAAGAAAACATTACACTGATGAAAATCATACCACTAGCGAGCTGCAACAATTATATGAGGCGACGGAGACTACACAGGTCTGCGTTGCTGGAAATATACACAGCCTACCGGGAAAAATCTTCATGAGAAATTTTCTCCCATTCTAATCTACAAGGGAAACAAGCTTCCGAAAACCATACATCATACAAGAAGCACTTGTTCCCTGAATGGTCTGGACTTGCCTCAATCTCAAGAAAACCGGTCATTCGCTCTCAATTTTGTTAAACCGTTTCCATCCTATGCATTGCTGCTAGACGGTCTTGCGAGCCAGCACGCCGCCAAGAATTGACTAGAGTACGAACAGGCCAGCATGTTTCTATAAGTTACATGTTTGTAAGTCAGCCAACCCATACTGAAACATAAAGCCCAATGCAGATACTGTCACAACATAAGGGCAAACCGTACCGGGCTCGAACAAGAACGCTCGCACCTACCATCCCCCTCCTACAAATTACGCTTTTGTCTCGTCCACACTTAAAGCAATATTTTGTAAAATACTATTTTACATGACTGTCAACATTCTTAAATTCTGTTCGGCCTCACGAATACGAGCGGAATCGCACTTGCTCTGACATTGTGGCGATCAGCACGAATTGATCCAGAATACCCACAGATCTAAGTGTTCAACACAGGTCTGATAGTGCCGTTCTAGGTTCTAACATGACCACCTGGATGACAACGCCGACACTGACCACGCTTCTCGTGCTAGTATTACTCTGACTGAATCACGCGGACGGCAGAACCTGCCCAAAGTATCGGAACTAATGGGGTTGGAGATGGGGTTCCTCGTTTAATACACAGCCGCCGGTATCCCTGACAGTACTCCCCGAACACCGACGACTTAGAGAAACATCTATAGGGCAAAACGAGTTTTGTTATAGCTTGATACCAACAGGCTGAAAGGTGGTCATGAATACGTAAGGCTGCCCAAATATCGCTCATGCAGCAATTATGTCGGCTGAAAACTCTCTCTCTCTCACCTTACCTACATATTCTACCGCCGGACACTTTAGACTCAAACTGTTAGCCGGAAGGTCGCGAATTCAAATCTCCCTGCGGATTCGTGACAAACGCACTGCTAAAAATTCCCGATTAGGATCGAAAAGCTGCATAATGCTTCCAGGTTTTTCGCTTACAGAATGAAATCTCGATTAAGTCATTTTTAACCTAAGGCTTGACGATCTTTCGATGGGTTTAACAGATGAAGTGGTTATAGAAAGTTCAACAACTGTGTAGTTCCGCGACTCATCAGTCCCGATACTTGGTAAGCGAACATACTCCTATTAGAGTAAGAGAAGTTGGGACCAAGTGCACTCAAGCTATCAGAGCAAAATCTCTTGAGTGACAACAAAAGGTTGGTTGGTTGGTTGGTATTCAAAAGGTGTATGTTGAAATATCGAAACCGAATGAAAATGACATATTTGTGAAGCTCCAACGGAGTACATGGCACCCTAAGGTGCAATAAGATGAGAAACAACTAAGATAGCAGTCTACAATATAGACATGACCATTGTTTCCATCCAGCTGTGAGATAAGGAGCGAAAGAACTACGGCGAAAATAATGTTACAACAGGTTGGGTGATTTGAACCCAGTAAGACCGGTGGCAGAGCAGGGGACAGGCACTGAAATGGTCATGTGTGTAACTAAGAGGGCAGCACATTTTGGGTTTTCAGTTAAGCTTGATCGTGCCAAACGTTTGTAATGAAAAGATCATTAAATTTGTTCAACGCTGTCAACACGTGACCAGCCCGGTTTCTGTAAAATGAAAAAAGGGAAAATGATGGCTTGTGGATTAGGATTATTCGATAGTACAGTAGGCGAAAAAGGTGTAGGTAAATCGCACAATATAAGGATAGAACTGAGGCTCTGTTCGGTAAGGCTCAAACATGACGCAAAGTGTGTGGTTAGAGGACTACTATGATATCCATACAATGTTCCTGCTTGTGTTAGCAGCTGTTCTAGCACCTTTACATATTGCAAACTGAATGGCATTTGGCTGCTGGGGCCAAAAAACCAACAGCTATTTATACGCTGCATTTGCCAGCCACTCAAGAGAAGTGCTCTACAAACTTGGAAACACCATTAACCTTGCTCGAATCAGTTTGAGGCCAGTTTGGGCGAGATGGCCGAAGTGGTTAGAGCGCGGATTACTAACCTGAAGGTCCGCGGTTCGAATCCGACCTCCGCCACTCGACTTCCCCTGTCTAGGCTTGGGCAACCTGGCAGTATCCCAGCCCTCGTGCTTGCTTCGGGTGGCATGGCAGCTAGGCACCGGAAGGGTGCTACAGCTGAACGCTTTATCATTTTTATCTTTATCAGGGTAGAAATACCCAGTGCAACCAGCAAAGTAGTAAGTTGAAAGGGGAGAGAGTCACTAAGTTTTATCGAGCACCTGGAAAAACACTGTCCATTCAGTAACAGCTACATCAACAGGAAGAATACATCGAAGGACGGACAGATTACGTGTGTAAATGACTCTACAAAAGTTTCTACACCAACGAAAAGTACATGTGGTATCCAACCGACGACGAGGTTTCGTAATTCACTTCCGTTTAAACATGCCGAGACATATGAAACTTTTGGATGGGAGTCTATGTGTTTTCTAATTACTTATCAGCATGCCTCTCCAAAACACTAGTTCACCAAGGAAACCTGTCGTTAGTTTCCGGAAATGCAAACAATCGGGCAACGCGTGACTTACTTCAAGCGCTTGGACTCCGTAGTAACAGCCTCCAGATGTTGAATGTCAGCATCCAATTGCTTCACCTCTTCAACCAAAGTGTTTGAGAATTGTTCGACTTGGGCAACCAACTTCTTTTGAGAAACCTGGAGCTCTCGTTTGACCTAAACAAACCGAAGAAGGAGACGTAAATAGTTTATTATCGTCATTAATACCACCGTTATCAGTGACAGCAACACCAGATGAGAACACTGTTCCCACCACTGTGCAACTTAGTTCGACCAAGAAATGGAGCGGAGGTGGAGTTTTATGGCTAGCCCGCAACTGATACCCGAGGTACCTACACCTCCAAAACACAATCAGACAATCCGGATAGAATCTGGTCTGATAGAATGAACGCCACTGACACCACTTAGCCTTCACATCTTTTGGCGTCTCTAACCAAGCACAAGGATGTCTCGTGGACTGCATCCTGGAAGACGAACAGCACCAAGGGCATCCAAACTTTTCGGAACATCCTTTATTCCCATCTGCCAGGTCATTCCTGTTCTCTTCTAGGTTTCCATCACTCCAAATTGTGCAAGGAAAACAGCGCTCGTTTTGGAAGACACTAACCCAGCCACCTTTGCTTGCGGTACTGGATACATTCTTTGACGAAAGTACCCTCTGAATGAGCAAAAAAACAGTACCCTAATCAACTACTTGCGAATTCGCCAGTCACAGACAATTTGTGTTATAGCTCTGAGTCCGTGGCTGTCAGAGACCTCAAGGTGTATCATATACTACGCATGGATTGGGCAAGTCTCGCAAAAGCCTGAGACCCGGTCACGTGCCTGTTTGTAGCCACAATTGGCACAAATAGGCAAACGCAATCCTCGTTTGTGAGATTCGTACGTTCACTTCGTCTGTCACACTAACATCTGAGCCAAAGCAACTTCCCAGAGCTCATACTGCTCCACAACCTCCAGTGCCACTCTTTGAATTCTCGGATGCATGTTCAAAGACACTATGTCCTGCAGCATGACTTTGAAATTCGTGGACGAGAAATAGTTCAACAACCGGGTCCCTACCAGCATCCACAAAAAAACCGAAAGGACGAATGCTGATGTGAAATATTTGTAAGGGAAAACAACTCACGTTGATAAACTGCATCCAATGGTACCAAAAACTATAATGCTAGGACGTATTGAAGTTATTAAAAATGGATTCTCATATGAATTTTGGAGTGTACAGATGGGAATCTGAAGATAACCTGAAAGCAAATTAAGATGCTCCGAGAGTGTGACGCCCAAGCTTGAGAGTCCAATCAGTACATTTTAACTTCGCATCCGGGCTACCTTTAATTCCCCATAGAGACAATTTATGGGTGAAAAAGGGCGAGACCTATGAAACAAAATGAACAGATATCCAATCCTAGTTAGTACCCTTCGGAAAGGGCCTCTTCGTACTGCAATCCCTTTGTTAAGTCGATCATCATAAACTCAGGAGACTCTTCTTTTGTCATGAGGAATTCAGCTTAGGTGAGCATGAACAGGCACCCTCTCAAACAACGAAAACAAAACCGAATGCACATCATTCGTGCCTGCATATAAGTGAAAATACCAATGGCTTTTTGCAACCTTTTCCTGGAAGTGGACACTGGGCAACAGTTCTGTGACACCAACGAACACCATCTTACTTGGTATCTGGCATTTGTGCTGGTCAAGTCGACAATAAGACGAAGTTTGTGTGACGCGAAATCCACATATTGACGCTTGAACGCTGCCTCTTTCGCTTTGTTGGTCCACGCTAAGCGTTCGTATAAATACAGACCACCGTAAAGCCCAGCAACAAGGCCAATGACACGCCAACCAACCGCCTTGGACACCTGGAGCGGAAAGACAGGAGAAATCAAGTCACAAGTGATAGAACAAAGAAAGAGAGCGATGACGTACACGTTAAATTGGAAGATAACTCACCAAACCGAATACGATCACAGCTCCAACCGAGCTACGACTCAAAAGAGAAGGGAACAGTTCCAGAGGCCAAGATGAAACCACAGATTGTAGAATGACGCCACTCTGGTCGACTGATGAAGACCAGGGATACTGAAAAATCAGCGAAAAACACATTCAACCATAAACAATGTGTGAAATAAAATGTGGAGTATCGTCCTAAAGATTGAAACAATAGATATACTGGCCCGTGCGAAGTCAACAGTGAGGTTGGATGATGAATCATGGTACACCCTGAGTAACTAAAAGTAAATCATACTGCTGACCAACAGTTGTCGAATGGTATGGTTTCTAAAGGCAGCGAGCTCGAATTTCGCTAGACTTGGGGCACGCACGGTTGAAGATCACCGAGAAGAACGAAACAGCCACGGAATCTCCCTCAGCTTTTCAAGACATGTTGCCCTCACCTTTCGAATCAAAGTCAGATCTGAAATTCTGAGATAGTTTAGAATACCAGCATTTATTTATCAATGCAGGCAAACTGTAACCTATATGAGCACCTGGACCGCTGGTTTTCGCTCATTCCAAGCGCTTAGGAACAATAACAGAGACAGCATCGAATGTGGTAACAATTCGATTTGATTAGGTACCTATGTGACGCGCAGATACTCAACAGGAAGGGTTTTGACGCCCTGTGCATAAATACTCGATTTGCCAAGTTGCATATGAACGAAGCAGCCGCATCCTTGCGTCCGTGATTTCAGTTGAAACGTTGCGCTAAAGTACGGCACACCCCATGCACCCATACATGACCAGTTATTAACCGGAAAACTCGAGGTTAGGCGCGCTGAGATCGGGCACAACACAACACTGCGAAGCGATTCAGATATAGATTTGTCTCCATGAGGGTGCCAAAAGTTCGTGTTCACCAACCAAGCGATCTAAGCCGACCTACCAATCATTAGGAACTAGCTGCACGGAAGAAATGAACAGAAAAATTGCACCCGGAAGGCCAGATTTGCAGCTAGCAAACAAACACGTCAGGAAACTAACAAAAGGAATTAATTTACCACATTGTGAAAAATGACAAGCCGCCTCCTGAACTGAGCGGTTGCGTAATTGCAATACATGACAGCAGGGTAACGATGAATAGTCATTAGCCCCTTGTTACCACCGTACACAGTTCATCTTCCGAAAAAAAACATTGTTGACTATCATGACACGTAACATTGACAGCGGCACAGCAACTTACGTGACTCGTACCACGACGGGGAGCAGTAAGGCGTTGAAACAAAGTGCCAATTCCTAAACTGAAACGGAACTGAATATCCTCACGAAAATCTGCGCATAGATTTCGACAATCCACGTGAAATTCTGGTTGGAACGCCGTTGGATCCACTAGCTGAAGAATACGATTTTTCTGTGCCTCATCGCTGACAATAGAAGCAAGCTTGGCTGGAAAGGCATGAGGAAAAAGGAGTCATGGTTGATATGATATAGTGATTTGGTCTGAAAACACATGACACAAGAAAACAAAACCCCAAACGATCGGAAAACTGTCCGGTGTGAAACTAGGTCAGAACGGAACATCAAGGTACCCAAGTAATGTACATAGTTTTTATCTAAAATGCAGAAGATGATCGCGCTGAGGGTCTAAACAACAGTAGAGTGGCAAATTGCAGGTAAATTAGTCACATCATCAGCATTAGTCACACATCAGCAACCTTGTGAGTAGTTTCCCTTATGAAAACATACTGCGATATCTCGAATATCGTGCCAACTGAATCATGAGGCGGCCTGTGTGCAGCACATTTAGTCGTAGAATATCATAAACGATCGATTCAGTTGCGTATCTCGTGAAAACCAAATTGATTTGCAAATGAGTGTATTTCTCGAAAACAGTCCAATTTGGGTTGAAGTATATCATGAGGTTGATGGAGACTCGGGGAAACCGGTGCGCGGTGACACGCCTCAGGACAGGCCTCCATTAACCAATGAAGAGGTGACAACTGCCTGTTTTACGGTCAGCAGTTCACCTGCACTTCAGTTGAAGGGGAAGAATGATGAATGAGGATTCGTATGTTACTCCATTTAGGTTAGCAGATGAAGGTAATAAGCGTGTAAGAACAAAGAGCACGGAAACCATTACCAAGCCAAAAGCATGCACATATCCTGCTTCGGTAGGCTTGATAACCAGCGTCAAGCAATCCCTACACAAACAATGATTTATCCAAACCGACATTGGGGTAGGATAGGTGTACGAGCAAAGACAGGAGTTTGGTTAACAAGTGTCAGAAGGGCGATTACATATGGAGTGATCGACAGTTAGCTAAAAGACGGCAAAGTTTGTTCATTCGAAAGCAAGACTCAACATTCAATACCTGGTGCAAAATTAAGTAGGTGGGGTTGATCTAAATTGCGGTTGAGGATATGGGAAACTATAACAGAATAACTTCTCTTTTGGTCGACTAATCCTCTAGAGATTGATTACGGTTTGTAACAATCAGGATTCCAAACCGAATAATCATTTCGTCTGCGTTTCGGATTGTCCGATGATGCAGAGCCATGAAATCATACAGAAGAATCGAAAGCAGATCCCCCGTAATTGTGGCCAGTCAATAATGCTCAAGTGTAGTCAGAAATGAAGAAGCCGGTGTCCACTGTGACTTTTAATACATGATTTTTAACCGTTAAAACTCACTAGCCCTAAACTTAGGAAATGTATCCGTTGCATTCCTCTGGAAATTCTCGACTTGCGCTAGAAAGTCGTCTCAATCAGTAATAATTTATTTGCTTCATTCCCTAGCTGAACCCATAACTAGCCACCCTGATGACCAAGGAATTCCCCGTCTTCATATGGGTTGACTTCAGTTTTTCCCACTTTGTGTGTTCACAAACTCCAAAGCGCCGATCACTAACCCGCACAGTTATTCCGACTTCGGAGACACTTGAAGACAAGAGCTCCGAAATGCAGTCGACCATTTGAGGTCTTGACCTGTAACTGAGGTCAGAACGACATGTTGGTTCATTCCGAATCAGAAAACCGTTGTTGCAGCGGATTTTACCAAGAAGAATGATGCTGAATTATTTATGAAGGAATTTAGGTAACTGGTAAGGGGATTTAGGTGGAACGGGAAATAACAGAGATAAATCCCAGGGGACATTTAAGTTCGACTTTAAGAAGCGGTTACATAACAGAACGACTAGCGAAAGTTGACGTTAAGGAAAGAGACACTCCGGTACGGGTGAGTAAACTGTTACCCTTAGTTGTGCAGCAGCTACATACCTAATGCACTTATAGGATTCCAGTTGACTGTGATCCCACGTTGACCAGTTTTCACAGTTAACCATCTAAGTAAGGTGCACTCTTGATCAAGTAAAGCACTGACATAATATTCACAAGGTCAATCGGAAGACTCTGGCCAGCCCACCACCAGGTTCGTACTTCTTCCTTGGGACTAATCAGGTAAACCTAGCCCCCTAGCGATCTAGACCATTCTGAGTTCCAGCGTCAACATCACAATGTACGTACGATGTGATAGACATACACCCGCAAGTTAACTTGGTGTTGACGGGAGATTCGGCTAAAGTTCACCTGGACCTTTCGTTTACGGCATTCTGCATAAGGCTGCTTCTGCACAGCACATCCAGTTCAATGATAATCCACTTTGAATGGAACAATATATAAATCTTGCGAGACCGGTTCAAATCCGGTAGTTTGCTTTAGTCTTTCGATCGCCAGTTTAATATCACTTAGTTAGGAAGTATGATGCAACAAAGCACACAAGTTGCTATTGAATTGCATGCGTCTTCGGTTTTTTTGGCATCCAATATACACAACCCTTTGAAACATAGCGTAGCAGTGTGTTCACTTTCATGGTTTGAAGTATGACTAGCTGCTCCGCATTTTTGCTATCCAAAACAGCGCCTGTTTATTCCACCCACTGCAAAAACCTCGGCAGCGTGAGTCATAGCATCGGCTTTCAAATTGAACTGGCTACGCAAACAAATTCTGCGCCATGAAAATAGTAAAATTTCAATATTCATTGAATATTAGGACTTTTACTGGAATGTAATACAACGGAGGAAACATCCACGGGTCCCAAGTAGGTAAGTCCAACAAGGATCAAAGTCGACAGACGATAGGAGTGAAAAACCGTTGTGTAATCTTGGATGGTTATCGAAGTTACAGGTCATAAATGAAGTTTGCCCGTGCAATCCGAGGTTTGTGTCTACGATGTCGTAGATCAAGAGTACAAATGACCTCGATAATAATGAGCTTCGAAGAGCGATACCGGTTGAGGCGGCCGAAACAATGAGTGAAGTTATGTTTGGATTTGCAAATATGACCGTATTAGTGTCCAGTAAACAATACAGTGAATCCAGATAAGGATGTGGATGCGCTCAGAACACACCATTACGGTGACCAGTCGAAATTCTGAATGAAACAAACAAAGAAGTGACTGGCTACGAACAATTGCGGCTCGTGTATTTCAGGAGTGCTGCTGAATTCGATCATTTTTTTCGTTGTCCTTGGTGTCATAAATTAACAATTATGCCGGGCTGAATAAAACAAACGAATTTCGGGCACTAATCAAGCATTGTTGACCAGTCACATTTAGGAGTAGGACTGCCGTCGCCGTATCGTCGGAGAACCCGAAATCAATCATCGATTTGACGGGAGCGAGATAACCGCTGGGTTGCCGCACATCCAAAATTGAAGGAATGCAGTTCCATTTTTCAAAGATATGGGTCCAACCGTACAGTGGGTATACAGCCTGAATCACCTATACACACTTCGCCCACACATACAAGAATGATACATTAAGAGTGCGTCAAAGGTTCCGAAAGGCACTAGGAAGCAAGTGACAACTGCTCAGTGTGTTGGCACAGGAAATCACATGGGGGCGGATCTCGCGGCATTATCGCCGGTAATTCCCGTTCCAAACTGAAATTCCGCAGTTCCTGGTGAGGCCCGTTGTCCCATTCAGGCTAGCTGATAGCGATCAACCGCGCGACAAAGCAACCATGGCCATTCACCAAATTCCATATCTAGGCAACTCAATGGGCCAACTTACAACACCCGACAGTTGTTCAGCATGAAAGATGGCGTTTCGACTAAGCTTTCACTGTGAACTGCAGAATGTGTGGCTATATGATGCCTCCGAAGTTTTAACCTCAAAAATCCACCCACCAAAATGTAAACTCGCCCTGGCCATATGTTGGAAAACTGGCAGGTCAGATAGACAGTGCTAAATAAGTTTACTCCGTCCATTAGGATAAATGTGTATTCCGTTTAGCACCATATACATTAACACAACCTGGCGAGTACCGATCAAATTCGAATGAAAAATTCAAAAACAGCTTTCCGTCAGTAACACAAGCATCGATGTAAATATAGCCTACTGAAAGCCTCACAGTAGCGTCATTGTGCGGAAATGCAACGGACAACGAAGTCTAGGGGATAGAACACTGAAAAACGAACAAATGCACGTCACACGCTACGTCGCTGAATGAAATAAAGTTGAGTGACAGCCAGTGGACAATCCAGGGTTGCTTTCCAAGTGTGAATGTGAACTGCAGCTTTGCCGAATAGATGTGAAGTGTTCAGCAAAACACTGAAAAACAGTCTAGAGTGGCCATCAACGGAAAAAAATCGAAGAAGTTAGAGTCAACTGATAGAAGTCATTAAGGTAACAAACAAAGCGCCATTCTGAGCGGACAGGTCGGAACACTATTCGAATACTGAGATATCCCTGCAGAGAGATATCCCTGCAGCTTCGAAAGGTTGTCAGTACTCATCAAACTCACTGCACACAAAACTATTCAACTGATTTGTCCTACAACGACCCTACATGCACAAGCTCTGAAAAAAGACCAACTGTCAGGCTGATAAAATCTCCAACTTCCCCAAAAGTGTTCCAGTAGATTTCATAGACATATGAACAGAATTTGTGCATGGGAATGGCAGAAGGCCAGACTCACGCGGTGGACAGAAATAGTACATATGTAAAGAGGCACTCGTACCACCGATACAACAGCAGAGACCGGAGGAAAATATCTGCACATTCGTGCACACTATCACTCTTGCTCATGCTGCTGTCAGACCGGAAATGGCAACCGGAGGATTGTTACTGAAGAAAGGGGGATCGGTCTGAGAACGATAGGACCGAACCACCTGCAAAAGATCAGTACACTTATCGAAAGAAGAGTAGCATCCGCGGTTCGAAAAGGAAATATTCTGAAAATAATTTCCCAGGGTCGAGGTGAAAAACAAAGAGGCATGGGTCTAGAATATCCCTATTAAACAACGGGCAAGGGAAGAATAGAATGTTCTTACTAAAGAAATAAACTTTAATCTCACAAACGCCACAAATACGGGGTTATTGGCCTACCTGGAGGCAGCAACGAAATCCAACACAAACTAGAAAGAACTGTGCTACCGCCCAAATCATGAGTCCCTTACGTAGACAATGCTTTTGTCATCACTAGAAACAGTGAGCTGCAACGAAAAAGTCAATAAATGGAGAGCGCTTTCCACGACGTCGATTTCCCGATGGAAGAAGGAAGCAACAGCAAGCTAACATTTTTAGGTGTCTGGCTAAGAATTTACCAGATGAGCAAATGCAAACCAAGGCTTAAAGCAATGTCACACACAGTTCAAATTCCGAACGAACAAAGCAATCCCCAAAACTGTCACAAACAAGGCTGCATTTAGACACTGCTCAAGCGAACTGAACACTACAACATAATAGAATTCTTCATAAAAGGGAAACGCCTATATAAGGAAGCGGTTACCCGGAGAACGTCACTTGAAGATCTCAGTCAACTCAAAAGCACAGAGAAAAGGCAATGAAACATCGATGACACTTCTGATATAGCTACAAAGGTACTACGATATCATGATATATCAGTGGTCTACAGACCTACGATGAACTGCAAACAACCCTACCGAAACCAGTACACTAGAAAAGACTAGTATTATTTGTTAAATTCAGTGCAAGAATTGCGGCAAACACTGCAGAACAAGCAGGGAGGAGGCTATCAACCTGAACCCACTGACGCAAGTTCGTTTGTCTTTGTAAATGAAGACCGGGAAGTACACTAATCCGACTGGAACAATATCAGCATTCCAGGTTGAACAAGAACGAAGGAAGAACGCGAATTTATGAAGCCGTGGTACTCAATTTATACGGCGATAAACAAGCAAATGGAGATCGACCCTCCCTTACTACCCGTGGGGAAGATGGAACTCCAGAAACTTCAAACTTGAGATGCACAAGGAATCAAAGAAGAAACTGGAAGAACTTAAACAAGAAGCGTTCAGAAAAACTAGTTGGGCCGGGACGCACAACTGTTAACAAGGACAAGCAAACCTGAGGACCAAAATAAGGAGAGCTCTGCGGATAGAACGCACACAAATCAGCTAACCGGGCCCACGAAAAGGAACCGCAAGTAAGTAATGGGCCAACCAGAATCAAAACAAAACAAAAACAAAAAATGGACGGTAAGCAATCAACCAAACGAAAGAAAGAAGGCCACAACGCAACGCAGATCAAGTAAAGACCATTCCGAAAAGGAAACAACCAACAACAAGGACAGCACTTAGTAAACCCATCGACCACAAGGCAGATCACTACGCAACACAGATAGCAAACAGATCAATCAGACTCTGAGATGACTTATGAACAGCCAATCACATTAAAGACCAAAGATGCTCTTTGCAAGCTAAATAAGCGCAAGGACGAAAGGAGGAACTGACCACCCAACCACGTGCTGATGATATTTACCGGAACAATTCAGCCGCCAAATTCGGAAAACAGATGCATAGTCACCAGGTCAACCATCAATGAAGGCACCGCAGCTGTCGATTAAACAACACATTGCCAACTAGAGCTCATATTAGAAATTTTCAGCAAAAAAAGGAAACGAAAATAACGTGCTGTCACGTTTCCAATGGTTCCTGTATCGTTTGTATGGCGCATCGTGCATGAAACAAAATACACTGAAAGGAAAACAGTTCGACCAAAATGCACAGTTGATGTCATACTGACATGGTAGACTTCTGAGAATCCCAACATTCTCCAGCTTCTTGAATTCTAGGTCAATTTCGCTAGAATCTTGAGTTTTCTTTTTAAGTGGACCTTATCCCTTCCAGTATATATTTATCCCTGATCGCGGCGTTTTTTCACAGATTTCTAGCATTCACGAACTAGTGCTGTGCTTGATGTTTCGCCAGTGAAACCGACCGGACACTGACTAGCCATCCACCGTACGGCAGTTTTTTTCACAGATTTCTAGCATTCACGCGCAAAACTAGTGCTTGATGTTTCGCCAGTGAAACCGACCGGACACTGACTAGCCATCCACCGTACGGCAGTGTTCCCATCCAAGTTTTTCCTCCCATACAAGTGAGGACACAACCGCCACTGTTCGACTTCGGGACAGAGTAGACAGACGTCGTTTTTCGGTCGAAAGCACGTTTCCAATAGGGCCCTACGGAACAGTCTTCCAAAGTATGAAAAAGTATTACCTGAAGCTACGCTGGAGGTCGAAAGAGGATATTCGGAATCATCTGCCAGGAGAAAATGCTATGAATATTGTGATATGAAGCCATCACGTTAGTGTACCTTAATTTGTGCGCCTGCAACAACCGAAAACAATGTAAGCGACACAAGTAAAGCAACTCGACATTCCCCCAGTCCCCATTGCCCAGTCCTGTGGAAAGGTCAAGTTACTTTTGGCTGAGGTAGCCTATTTGGTGGAAGAGCACAGTTATGCCTTCTCAGAGCAAACCATTTTGGTTTTACGGGTGCTCACCGTATCACAGGAACTTCTTAAACTACGGATGCTAAGCCAAATTCAGAAAAGGTAGACAACAAACAGGAACAATGTCAGGGAGAAATCCAAGGTTTCATTTAGCAGAATAATTCACTTAACTGCAAATTGATGGATCAAGGATCGATAGGAATCGAGAGCGAAACAATGTGAAACGTCACGTGTCAGCGTATCAAGGTTGCGCAGACACACGCAGACTTGAGATTCATAAAGTATGTAATCCACCCGTGGCAGGCGTATGCTGATTACGCCAATGACAGAGCTACTGAAGATAAGTAAAACAGTCATCCGTAGATAATTCGATTCCTCTAAATCTAATACTGTTCATGTCAGTTTGTCAGTAATAGACACGGTAACAAAGACACGTTGGAACCCACTGCCACAGTTCGACCAGTGGAAAGTGGGAAACTTGAAGAGACAACATTGTCGTTGTTGAAGCACTGTAGTTGTCTGATGAAGCTGAGAACTGGGAAGCTATGTATTGAAGCCAAGAGCTTATATTCAAGGAGTCAAATGACCACTCGAATGAGCAAATGGTCCGAGTCAACTACCACCGATGAGCCTACTCCCAATACCTTCAGGTTGATGACGCGATTATTTTCGCATGACTTCCTTTAGTCCTTGTAAACAATGGAATCACCGTCGAAACGCTCGATCCCACGGTTATTGTCTTGGTTCAAATGTTTGTAATAGCGCCATCTGACTGCTCACCAAAGCTTCGATCCAAAGAGTGCAGAGTACGAACCATCCAGCTCGGATACCTTGTCGGTTTGAACCAAACATATCGGTAATTTCTGTGGTACATGGAGGCTAATGTCGACGTTTAATTCAGGTTGTATCGAGCTAACTTGTACTTTGAAGTGTTCAGTCCATCACTTGAAACGATGCTTTTTGCAGATCTTCTAGTGAAGACGCCTTGTTCTAGTCAGTCGATCCGCTCAGCTGAACTGGGACGGGTTCACTTCCTCCACCGCAATATTTTCCACCCACGATCCACCAACTCTGCATCAGTTTTCGGACTCCTGATAATCTGATGTTTGAGAGTTCTGCGTACATCACTTTGGTCACCAATCGCTGCTATAATTCCTCTAGAGTCAATAAAATCTTCCCGTCTGTATTATACGTCTAGTCGTGCGGCTCTGGTAGGTAATCCTAACAGCTGACAGGATAGCTTCTTTTACTCCATTCCATTCGTCTTCCTACCAATCTTCGACACTGGCGTGAATGTGCACTTCTCGCAGATTTCCAGCTATATCAACACGATTATTCGGTTGCAGATGATGAACTGAATGACCTTACAATGCCTGCAATAGTCGAGCCCGCATGATCGGAATCGGATTTCTACCCTCAGAAGGGAAGAAAATCCTTAGTCAAGGCTGTCCACCTGCAACGGATAGCTACCTGGTTCAGCTGAGTCCATGACTGGCTAGAGTTCGATGGCCTCTAAATAAACCTGTGTAAGCAATCTTGCTGACGGTTCGTACTGGCCAGGAACAAAAGTTGTTCAGTGCACACCTGAGGAAGTCATTGGTAATGTATCGAGATATTGATAGCTAGGGTAAGTTTATTGGTTGTTGATCAGGTGGCCGTTGATCTGTTCGCCAAGCTTGGTAGTTAACTTGCAAAAGTTTCGCCACATGAGAACAGACATCATTAGTGCTGAGTTAGGTGCGCGCTGACGTCTCCTCGTACGGTGACGAAACGTTTGCAAGTCAATTACCAAGCTTGGCGAACAGATCAGCAGCCACCCGATCAACAACCAATGAAGAAGTCATTACTCATTATCTTCAGGGCGATTCCACACTCCGAATGGAGCACTGAATGTACTTTTTCATTGCTGTCGTTCACTCGTACGTGAAGAAACGTTTGCAAATCAATTACCAAGCTTGGCGAACAGATCAGCAGCCACCCGATCAACAACCAATGAAGAAGTCATTACTCATTATCTTCAGGGCGATTCCACGAATGGAGTGGAGCACTGAACGTACTTTTTCATTGCTGTCGTTCAACTTGGGCATCCATACCACCCAGTAGTATGACATTACCTGTCGTTTCATGGGAACACTGGGCTGACCGAATTAGTAGCATGAGAGGACTTTAATGAGATTTTGTGAATTAGAGGCAACTCAAATGCTGCAAGCAACTTACACATCATAATTTGTTCTGACCGTGAAACTTCATTGAGAATATCGCTAGAACAAGCCGCAGCTAACTTCCGCCCCAATTCGCGCTCTACATGTGTGTTCAATTCCTTTTTGTATAGCAACAACATGGCAGGATCTGGATGGAAAGGACGCGAATAAGAGTCGACCAGTTCACCAAGACGGCGGATCTCTGCATTCAGCGCACTAGCAACCTGGGTTTCAACGCGGGCCAAACAGGTGTGAGTCATTTCATCCAACGCTTGTGAGGTCCGATGCAAACGCGAACGAACTTCTTCCAGATGAGCTTGCGACAAACACCGACAACGAACGGCCGCGTCTCTGTAACGGAGTAATACAATGAGTACGGTGGAAGGATGTCTAAAGTCAGTCGACACGATCCAAACTTTTCCTGTTTGTATGGTCCAATGATTCATACTATCGACCACACTACCTACCACGACTGAGTAAAGCGATTTTTTTTTAACTTTTTGAGCGAAGCCATTGACCGTTACTAGCCGGGCAAACAGTCCTATAAACTGACTTTTTCCCGCTTACAACCGTTCAGATGTTTCACATAGTTCTACTCTCACTGTCAACGCCGTTAAGCTATCGAGCCTGCTAGCCAAAGCGATACAGGTGTCTCTTCATCCAACAAACTAACCTTCGACTCTCCCAAACTTACGCACACCCTGCCGTGGAATTCAACCCTTCAAGACCATCACTTCGCGGTGATGCTACCCTGAATATCTTTTCGTTTACTTGCTTATTGTATACGAATAGACGAATGAGAATGTGGTAACACCAATGTCCGAATTAGGACAAAGAAAATTATTACGAGTTCCTGGTGGCAGCAAATGACATACGCGATAGGCAAGTGGAGGATGGAAAAAGAACCTTTGGAAACACTAAGTCCATTGCATTAGTCACCCAACAAATAGCGCTCAAAACACCGGCGAGTAGCCCCGGCATACTCACTTCTCCTCCACCGTTGTCTCATAGATCTTTTCCATAACTGAACGAAAGTGTTCCGCAATCTGCTTGCCCTGTTCGCAGTGCGTGGCAAATTTGGTTCGTGTGGCCGATTCGGATAGGTTTTTCTAAATCAAAAGGGAAGGGAAACGTCCAAACTTAAGGGCGGGTGCGCTATCCAGGTAATAAGATCATAAAAGTGCAGGTGTGGATCAATGCTTTTGTACTGGCTACAATATGACTTGATCCAAGTGAAGCTAGTAGAAACCACCAACTTCCGACAAACTCCCAGTCAAATAAACTGGTGGTTGCGAATACTCATCTGGTGTCCACAAAGCTAGATTTCGCAGCCGAGAAATGGAGTATAACAGAAGATGATAATTCGAGGATTTTGAAGTAGGAAACAACGGTTTCATCCTGTAATCAAAGTTAATTCATTTTGAAAAGCTGAGGAACGTTCAACATGTACCTGATCCTCGTTACGAATCCTCAGTAGTCGTGTTAAATCCTGTCTATAAGTAGATTAAAAGTACCGATGATCTTCCAATCGCTGTTAAGTAACACGGCGTTTATTCCTTATGCGGAAGGTTATGGCTTCACGGATGCCCAGAGATCTGTTGATGATTCCAAAGAGATAGGCTATACACTGATTCGGATTTTTCCGTACAGGATAGCAGACTAAGTGGAGGCTATGTTTTGGAACCAAACAAATGCACAACGTATAATTAAATCGAACGAATCGTTTTTGAACGGTTCCAAATGGTAGTCATCATCTTTCTTCCAACCGAGTTCAGCAAGTTAACATAAACCTTGCATTAACGAACAGAGTAAAGTTTCCACAGCCCACTGCTTAGCATATGACGTACGCCGGCGTGCAGGCACATGCACTTCTAAGTGGATAACGTCCAAATGCACGTGATGGCAGCTGAAGATACGATTGCTACAAACAATTTCGTTCCGTAGGCACACTAAAAATTTGTTGAAGATAAACACGGTGAACTCACTTCAAAGATCACTTCGAAATCTCTGAACTCCTGCAGTCTAACTTCCCAACCTTCGGCCATAAATGGTACTGAAAAAAAACAGTGAGAAGCGAAGAGACTTTGTAGTGGTATAGACATGTCACCCTGGGGCTGCAAAGCATCTGATCATAAAGAAAAACGAATTGGTAAAAACTGCGTACACTCAATCACAACAGCCACATTAACTTACGTGAGGGCAGAGGTGAGCCAACATGTGTTGTACTCTCTGGTGGCCCAGAACCAAAAGCCATGTTGCCTGCATTTGACCTTGATCGATAGGCGAGTGCCTCTCGGGCCGAAACGAAAAATACATGTGCCTCCGCCTCTGCACGTGAACATACTTTCAGTTCATCGGCCAAGAAAGCGACACAACGTTGAAGGTGCTGATCACGAACCTATTGTAGGAGTGGTACAGTCAGAACACATCTGCGTGAAAGGAACTGGTTCTGTCCACTCGTTACTTCAAATAAAATCCAAGCATTTCGTAAAAATCCTCAATAGGACTACAGCATTTTAATTCAGGACAGTAGAGAGTAGAACAGAACACTAAAAAAATTGTGTCGCTGCTGCCTGCCACAACCAGTAGTGTGAGCGTTTCCATTTATCTGCCTGTAGTTTCAGAAACAGTGGAATCACACAGTAGAATCAAAAAGCATTCCGAGGGTACTAGGTTGCTCGCAGCACAAGTCTCTTTCCAGTCTTACCAATGTCGGATTAACCGGTCCTGTATGTGTATTTCGGAAACAATAGATAGTAGGCACTGCCCCACAGGCGCTGTGACCTGCATTCACATTCTCGCTTTAATAAACCCAACTTAATGTTCAGTTCAATTCAATTCACTTCACCAGCTATAAACCATGTACCATAGGTACATTGGTTTCAGTTGCTACAGTTTCGGTCACCGGAAAACGCGATAATGTGGGACATACAGTCAAGCTTTTCAAGCGATGACACGTTCAGTTTGTTCGGAAATTTGGTAGCCTCGTATTGAAGACGATAGCTTTGATGCATGAGCGCCACTGACTGTGCCTTTGGGGCAGTGTCAATAGCTATTGGTGAGTCGAGTCCCGGGGTCCCCATCCAGGAAGACAGCGGTTGCCCACCCGACCTAGTTTACCAGTTAGTGTTTCCGTACTTCGTTGCCAGGTTATACAATGTCCACCTCTCGGTTGCTTCCACTCATCACAGGGCTGGAAAAAAAGAGCTCTGCGAGGCAGGCGCAGTACATGTCCTAATCAGCGTAACCCACGTTGGAATCAGGAAAAAACAACAGGTGGATGAGAATGGTGGGATAGAAGTGTTAAATAGAAGCAAATAAAAAATAAAATGAAAGTATCCTAGAATGCTAGCGAAATACATCCATTTGCGAACAAATTTGGTTTTCGAAAGACTCACCTGGAACCCAACTGGATCTCTTGTTTCTTTTTATGTTTCCTAGACTGCGTCCACCCAGTAGTTTCTCAAACTCACTCCAATGCGTTACGCACAATAAAAAACCGGATCAACTAGCTCTCACGCAATCAAGTGTGCCGCAGCTTCGTGAATTAAACATTGTGCGACTGGACCACGGTATATCAAAAAAATACTATTCTTTTCTGTGCGAAGCTAATATGGAGGCGATAACTAAAGCAACAATGTAACGAAAGCACTGTCGCTGACGGGGAAGGGCGGACGACAATAAATAAATCAGATGGTGGGGAGCCCGGATAAAAAAAACCATTGGTGTGATCCTCAGCTTTTCTGACCGCCCGGAGAACGGGCAATTAATCACAATTTCTGCTCTCTTCGTTTACGAGTCTTTCTCCTCAGCTGACGATACTCGTGGTTTTCTTGGCGTTACTGATCAAAATCTTGGTTCTAAGCCAAATTTTTAGTGGGGGAAACTCACCTCATTCACATACTCTATCTCGTTGGCCGATGCATCCCAACGATTGTTGATGATGAAAATGTTCGGTTTCGAAAGGCGCTGACTAACCCGATGGAAGAACTCCTTTTCCTGTGGTTGGGTTTAGTAAAGCAAGAAGTAGGTGTGAGTTATAAGGAACAAGACCTATCATTATGATAAGAATCAAGTTGGAATTAAATTTCGGGAAGTTTTGAGTGAACGCATCGACTGTGGTTTGCTTTGTAAAGCGATTAGCGTCCTCAATGAAAGCTTGTCTTAAGGGGCGATACTTTTCCTGTGGTTGGGTTTAGTAAAGCAAGAAGTAGGTGTGAGTTATAAGGAACAAGACCTATCATTATGATAAGAATCAAGTTGGAATTAAATTTCGGGAAGTTTTGAGTGAACGCATCGACTGTGGTTTGCTTTGTAAAACGATTAGCGTCCTCAATGAAAGCTTGTCTTAAAGGGGCGATATGGTGAGTGGTTAAAGCGCAAATTTACTGACCGGAAGGTTCGTGGTTCGAATCCGACCTCCGCCACTCGACTTCCCCTGTCTAGGCTTGGGCAACCTGGCAGTATCCTAACCCTCGTGCTTCCTTCGGGTGGCATGGCAGCCAGGCACCGGAAGGGTGCTACAGCTGAATGCTTTGTGTCTTAAAGGCGTCCACAGTATGGATCAAGATGAGGTGGGCTAGAAATGAGACACCGCGGTGGTTTGTATTATCAAACGAACTGAGATACATCAACTCGATAAAATCATAAACGTTAAGCACAACGAGTAAGAGAGCACATGCCAAGAGGAGCAAGCCCTGGATTTTACCCTGCAGGTTACTACGGTATTTCAAACGACGACATACATGTCTGCTACATGCAAGGCAATGATTCAATATTAACTCAAAGTAAACACCAAATTCCGTATAGGTATCGCGTCTTCCGATAGCACATTAACCTGATTTCATGTGCATTCAAACCAGAAAGACCCCAACATAATATAGCGGGATGAGGATACTAACTACATTGCTGAAATAACAAATGAGGCACTTGCTGTCGAGGCCACCGAGGGTAGCTGTTCATCTGACGCAGTATAATGGGATACTTCTACACAAGTTCAGTGAACGGGTGAAGGTCAAGAACGAAAGGCAAGCCGAGGCACAGTACAGTAATTTAAGCTTCGAATATTCTTTCTTTTAAACCCTTTCACTCTCCAGTTCACATGTACCTGTTCTGAGGGCCCAAAGGTTTCACCTGGTGTCAGAGTACCGCAAAACAACATAAACAAAGCACAACATTGCCCATCGTGTTATTAGTGGGAAGAGGAGTCCCCAATAAATGGTTATTTGATACAGTACTTACTGCTTGCATCAATGTAGATTCTGCGTTTGCCACCAGAATAAATACATCAGCGTCGAGACAATGTGAATCAATCCAACTATCCACATCCGGATCCACATTGATCCCAGGGCTATCGAGAAGCACCACATCCTCACGCAAAAGCCGACATTGAGAACTTGGCCAAAAAATTCTGATCATTGAATCCGTCGCAAGTTGCACACCACTCAGCGCATGAGCCAGTTGACTAACCGACTCAATTGGGTGGGACTATAACCGGTAATATGATCAATAATAAAAAGCGAAGGAAGTGAGCGAAATAAGTGGAAAGTGTGTCCTGAGAAACAATGGGTTATGGGCTACGACGAACGGTACTAAAGTTTGTTACAATCCTGAGAAAAGCAAATAATATAGGTCAGTGTCAATAATAAAGACACCGTCTATGGCTAATGAGGCTAGACTAGCAATCTGCAACGGAAAAGAGCGTCTTTTAAACAGGGACAATTAGAAGTAGGATAGGAATAGACCAAAACAACTTGAAACACGAAATCAAACAAGTTGATAAAACAGCATGAGTAGTATCTGAAAGCATGCCATCCGGTATTACGTGTGAGCAAGACACTATCAGTAAAGCGGAATCCGAGTATTCCCAACACCGCCCGATCTCGTTAACCAGATGACCAGCCGCACATAGTCGAAAAAAATTGGACGGACAACCCGGATGATAAGTCCACCTCGCAGTTCGCGCCATTCTAAAGAAGGCAGGGAAAGCCACACTCGTTTCGGTAGACGATGATTCGATATGCGCACCACATGGCTAGGCCATCGCACTTAACGGTACTAGATGTTCACGATGACTGAAGTAAATACTGTACAGCCAAGTACACGTTTAACGACACAATAAACAAGCACAAATGAAGAGGAAGTAGAGTTGATTATCTCATTCAAGCGCCTTTCGACGTTCACGCACTGTCAACTTCAAGTCTCCTTCGATGCACTGTTCGACGCAATGACCTATCCTCAAGGTAACTTGGGACAACGTAGAACCGCTCATTTTCTTCCCTCCCTCTTTCGAGATCGGTCTGTCGGCTACACGGGAAACATCACCTACACATTGGTAATGAGGATCTTCATCACCGACGAGACACTGAAGTTGATTGCGTCCAACCGGATACTTAAAATCATCAGCCAATAAGGGCTCAAGTGCTACATCCTCTCGTCTATAAGGATTGCTATGAGAACAAAAGAAACACTCAAAGTGAAGAGCAGCGACAGCTTAGTTAGACATACCAAGCCCGCGTAGTAGAATTACAAATGAAACCAACGGTCTCAAGCAGGAAGGTATCAGTAAACAGCGAAAGAACACCAAAAGAAAACATCACCCTAGCTTTCGCATTCAAACCACTGATTTTGTCGACAAATTCAAAGTAGTACCTTAGAAAATACATGGCGAGGCGTCGTCTGATAGGTCCCAAGACATCTACCATGACGTCACCCTACTAACTGGAAAAGCTAGTTTGTCACGAACGAAATCGGATGAATGGGCACACCATATTTATGGATTTTGGGAAATTCATACGGAAGTGGTGTGGCAGAACCCACCGTTTCCTAACCATGCGACTATGATTTTATCGATGTTATCCGTAACCAACAGCCCCTGTGATAAATCGATCGGCGAAAATCTCACATCTGCCCGCAGAAGTTGTGTCTCGTGGCCATACAATAACACAGCCCTTAATGTGGCCTGGTGCATGCGACCCTTGATACTCAGCGATGTGTATTTTTCAGGGCGAATTGACAAGTGTGATTCAACCGAATAGTGTCCGGCATAATACAGACCAAAGTTAGATCCGTTGGCAGACTAGAAAGTGACCGCACGAATGCCACTGAGTATCACGTCCTGTAGGATCTCGAAACGTGCGCACGAAAAAGCAAGCAGATCTTATCCGAGAATGCCTGTAGATCTCAAAGTTCCCAGCTTGGCTTTAACCACTTTCATTTCGCACAACCATTCAATGGCGTGACCTCTCCGAAGCTTCTGCCAGCATGGGTTGGTTAATAACAGAAAGATATTGGAAAACAGGGTATCCCGACAGAGCCTAAATGCAAAGGACCTAGAAAATGAATTGTTTTCAAAAGTTTGTGTCCCCAGCAGACTCTAAAACCCATGCCAATTTTTGTTGAAACCAACCGCTAATATTCCCTTAGGTAAACCCTCTGCTTCAGTGTTGTACACAAGATAGTTCGTTGCCGGAACAAGCGGGTTAGTCTGATGTTATCCACCTAAACATCTGTGGTTGCCGGGTAGCGAAGCGAAACTTTCTGTTAGCACTCGCTTCCACAGGCGCACGACCGAAAAAGTTTGAGTTGAAGATATACTCCAAAAGCAATTATAAGTAGGCATCCACAGGAGCCTTGGATAATCACTCCTACGTTCGTTCCGTTCATCCAAATGTTGACGGTCGTGTGCAAAGGAAGTAAAGTACGGATAGAAGTGGAACAAATTAAATCAGAAGAGCTTGAAAACCGTCAAGAAGTCCGAGTTTCAGAAATGTTTGATGAAAAACCTGTGAATATATCCAGCGATTTATTCACTGGTGGCTTAATAAACAGTTTCTGGAATAAAGCAAAACAAAGAACGAGAATGGCACCTGAGCACCTGACCCATCAGGATCATTCTCTGGAATTGCCACGTAGCCCGTCTCGCGGTCCGTGCCTTGGATCTCGAGAAAGCAACTGGTGGTGTGCCCCATCCCGGAGGGTAAAAGCCGGGAACCCAACATGGCATTGATTACTGTGCTCTTCCCGTTGGAAGTTCTGGAGTTAAGAAAAAAGTGCAAAAACTTCCTAAGCCTCACGTTTGATCAGTAGTCTTTACTGCAATGAAAACGTGAAAAACCAATGCTCAGATGAACTCGTGTCTTGTATTCCATGAAGTATCTCGAGCGCAATTAATGATATTTGGTCGTGCGGCGCTGAAGCACCAGTGCTTTCATCTGGTGTTGCCGTTACTGCACATGACGATGGCGGATTTGCTTAGGAGGCCGCATGCCAGAGAGTGCAATGAAAACGGAACAAAAGACCCGAAGAATGCAGTTGATTACCTCTTTAGATGCCTGACTGGTTTGGATTCAGGCAGCAGCGGTTACCAAGTTGATTAGGAAGAGAATCGAGGTATGACAATTTGGAAAGATGGAAGGTGCCAGCAATCGCATGGTCTTAATGACAGACCGTGCTGTGTGCAGTGAGTGAGGTGACATGGCTGGTGTCGACACGTGGAATCCTATACCACGTACCTATATAGGCATTCAGTCAATTGGAAAAAGCTTGGAAACGGTTGTTCTAGATAAGTTCGGTGGAACTTCGCTGTACAACTTCTCGCCATTAACGCAAAAAGTTTCTACGAATAGGTGAAAGGATTAGTCGGTTGGCCGAGTAGTGGGACGTAACAAATTAGCTCCGTGTTAATAGTCGACTAAAAATATTGGTAGACAGTGCGAGTTACTGAGTCTTATAGTCCAACAGTTTAGAGAGGGGGAGGGGTAACGTCGATTTCTGCGAGAGTTGAGGCCTTGCTGTTCCGATTCAAAGCACCTCAGCTGCTGATTACCCTCACGTATCAACCACAAGTTTTGTTAATCTTTGATTGGTGAATCATATGGTAATTTGGTTCGACGGAGGGTTAAGTACGTTGTGATTGGTATGTGCTTTGCAACCCAAACCGGGATTACCTGTTGATAAATGCTCTTCACTGACAGTCGGGTATCGCACGTGTCAACATTATCCATCTGAAACCGACCTACACCAGCCTCTAGACCTACTCTTTCTAGTTACAACCGGCTGTCCAGAGATATCTGCTGCGCCGGGTTCCAGCCGGTGGAGCGTGTGCAAAGTGACAGAGGGCCAAATGATTGTTTCTTTGTCTGCAATAGAATTGTTCCAGCCTAATAACACACTCAAATGAGGACAGGAGACTTTTGAACCAAAAATATCAATGGCTTACCACATTTTGCTAAAACGATGGTATGAGGGTGTTTCTGGGTGCGTATTTGCCACTAATGAATGTATTCTGACAGCGGACTTCAACAGCGCCTAATATGAGCGGTTGAATATTGTAGCTGTGAGATCCTGTATAACAAGAAGACTACTTATAGTATGGGCAAGAAATCTGAAGCGCTTGAAACAAGCATAAAGTCGCTAGTGTGGCACTGAACACATAGTACATGGATGCCCTGGTACCTGAGCACCAAACTGTACCTAGGTGGCGATAAATAACCGATCGCACATTGGCAAGGCGTCAACGGGAGATTCCACTGACTAGCAGCCGAATGTCTCATTCACGATGGACTTCAAGTGAATATGGCGAGGTGGGTCAGTGGTTAGAGTGCGCATTAACTGACCAGAAAGTTCGAGGTTCGAAACCGACTTTTGCCTCTCGACTCCCCCTGTCTAGGCTTGGGTAGCTTGGCACTGCCCCAGTATTCGTGCATCTTTCTCGGGCCCATGCTACTCAGAGTGACGTCATGGTACTAAACAAACAGAGAGTTCGTCGGTTATTTGCAAAGTAGCACGACAAAAGTACGGGCAGTTAGCTAATCATAGCCTGTGTTAAATCCGACAGAACCTCAGGCGTCAATCGTCTGTGCATATCACTAACCCAGCCCCGTATGGTACGAAGTTCAGTCAACGCTCATCAGTTTACGTCTCTCTTGATTCGCGCCTACACAAAAATCTGTTTCTTTCCTGCCTTTCCTGTTCGTTTCCACCTGGTAAAGGTAAAGTAGGTAGGAAATAACGATTATTCCGACCCACTTGACATTTATGTTCTACTATTGCTGAGCACAGAAACTTGTAGCGTTTGCATAACCTAACGAAGATATACACATGCATGCTTTACGCCCATCACCTGTAAGATATATGGCATTCACCTTACCTTCCGAAGAAGGCACACTTCATCTGATTCCTGGAAATGATGCCTTGGATGCTTTTAATCTTTACCAAATGCTGTTCGACATCTTCATGTGTGCCTTCACCCAGAAGTCGAGCAAACTTTTCTTCTAAAAATAGAATGGATAAGGGTTAAGACAGGGACGAACCTTGATGTTGTTGTGTAGTAAAGTTATGACACTCGTTGATATAATTCAAGATCTCCTCATAAATTTGAATTAGTTCCTTTTTGGCTTCTTTGAATCTGATGAGGTGTGGATGACTGGGTTGTCGTGTTACAACAACGGTCTTCTGACGGAAATCACCAGCCGCGCTCATCCCCGTGTGGTCGCAAAGTGGTCAGATCAATAGGATGTGATGTCCACGGATGACAATAAAAGATCAGTACCAATCCTTTAAAAAAAACGGAAAAAGATTGCCGGAGTCACACTACGCAGGTATCTTTTTATTCATTTAGAATAAAGCACAGGGGGAGAAACACTGGCCATCAGTGACCAGTTGACCTATTGAGGAAGAGTGAAATTTCCGGAAAACCATCTGGCGCATTACCGGAATGAGGTTCCCGCCAGACCCGCGGAAAGCTTCACATATTCCTTTAGCCAGAGAGTCGCCAACGATCTTCTGCACGCGGCGGCTACGTCTCTAACCTATAAAATAGGACAGGTCGGATCGCGTCATTGTACAATCTACCTCTGGTAGTCAGGCCGATTTCACGTCGGCACCACAAATGTTAGAGGTTGGCAAGTGCTGTCCTCGATTTCCTTTACCCGTCCGTCAGTACTATGAGGTTCGGGTTCGATCCCACCAAATCTTGCAGTAACACATTTTACGCCTTCGGAGCGCACACCGAAATGTACAGCAGAAGTAAAGCAATATCACCGATGCATTAAATGTCCGTAAGCAAACGCCCCATGGGTATTTCGATCACCGAGGTGTTAGAGAAGGATAAGGACTCAATGAGCATATCGATTGCGAAGTTAAGGGGAAGGGGCGATGAAGGGCACCCTTGGCTGACCAAATGATAGCTTGCCGTACACGATCACGTCTTCGTGGAAGTTGGCATATAGCGTCTTAAGGAGGGTCATCTTTGCTTCATAGAAACTGCCATAGTGCTCGACGGTCCACAGAAGCAAGGGCAGCTTTCAACTCAAAGAAGAATACAATGTTGGTTGGAATAGATTATCAAGAATCTAGCGAAATATCTTGGAGGACGCAACCGAGTTTGGTTTTCACAGATTTGCCTTTCCCTGTGTTCATCCAATCTACGAAGGATAAGAAGTACCTTTGAAGCCTCAGCTACCAGATTAATGCCTTGGTGGCTTCCACGCAGCGTCCGCCTACCGTTTTTGAATACATGGATAACTGTCTACGTGTCCTGTTCTGCAAGCCCTTCCTATTCACACCACTTCGCATCAACGACCCTTATCAGATTGATTGCCAGAGGGCTGGATACAAACCGCCCGCTCCCTCAAGTTTCAGTAGAGATAATTAGCATTTCATTTCTTTATTCACACCACTTCGCATCAACGACCCTTATCAGATTGATTGCCAGAGGGCTGGATACAAACCGCCCGCTCCCTCAAGTTTCAGTAGAGATAGTTAGCATTTCATTTCTTCTTCTGGGACCAGAAGGCTCAGTGGTTCGGGCTCAAGTGGTTAGAGCGCGAATTTACTGACCGGAAGGTCCGTGGTTCGAACCCGACCTGTGCCTCTCGGCTTCCCTATCTAGACTTAGGCAGCGCCCTTTTTTTCACTTTTGCCTTTCAGGTGAACGACAGCCGCTGAACGACAAGAACAAAACCGACCCGGGAAAGTTGGGCAAAATGCCTCGATCCTGTGTATCAACCTGTGAATCCGTGATGGGCACGCGGGCGTCCCAACTCAGTGACAAAAAAAGCACCCTCATGCCGAAGCCGCCAAAGCGTGGTGTCGTCATCTACATAGCCTTGTGTTCTATATACAGCAGAACTAATAAGCTGAAACAATAAAGGCCCATATCGAGGCCGTACTGTCACCGTAATTAGGCTCTATGATGGCCGGTATATCCAGTCTGCGCGGGATTGGTCGGAAAGTCAGACTTCAGGGTTAACAACAAGCCAAGCTTTGATTGGTCGAAATTGAGGTTCCAAAGGCCATACCTGTCAATATCAATGGGGAGTTCATCCTGTAAGTGAAGCAGATCTACAGTGAACATCCGGGTTGCATCATACAGCTGTTTTATCCTTGTTAGAAATAACCAGTCGCACACACCTGACGAGACTCCAGAGTCTCGAGCCGTAGCCTCCTAGTTAGTCGTGTGAACACAAACGTTCGGCCAGGGAACAACTGTCCAGGGCTTCTCACATTTTCCAAATCAACCGGCTTCGCTCATGGGATGAAATAGCCAACTGTTCACATTAACATGTTTCGGTATCCGCTAAGTCGCCAACGTCGATTGCGGGTGTCCGAATTTCCAGTGTGTTGTTCAATGACACCCTGTACATTGTATCTAATTCGTTTCGGTAGCCGCAGTAAGTTCTTCAGGTTAATGACTCAAGTTGCGCGTCCAGACGTCAACCCTAAGTTTCAGTGGGCCTTCTGTTTCTTCCAATGCTGCAATCACCACCTGAATCACGATGTCCACATTTGCGTGCCCTTTTGGTCACGGGTTTAACTCCACATTAAGCAGTACAGTGCCACCGTCAGAACTGACAAGATGCTAGAGGACATTCCCACGTCCCTGTTTTTCATGCGAACTCATTGTCGTGGATTCTAATTCCAAATATCAGGGACGTTGAGATTGACAACAGTCATTTTTGGGCATGGTAGAGCTTGAACGTTGAAAAGAAACGTGTCCGCTAGTCGGCTAGTGGACAGTGGAGGTGACATGTCCAAACACATTAGGATTAATGGCGAGTTAGACTGGCTAGTAAAAAGCTTCCATAACGGCTGCATCAACTGCACCAGAGGACGGTGACACCTTCGACAGTTAGAGAGAAGTAACGCGGTTGATTTTAAGCGAGATGGTTGGACTGGTGCAGGGTATGGCATTAGTGTCGATGAGAGGAAGAAGGCCTTTGTTGCGGAGTCATTTATTAGAAAACGCTAACTGAACATTCACAGACTAATGGACAGGGAAGCAAAACGCTCATATGTATTTTGTTTACAAAAACTGACTATCCGTCCTCTCTTTGAAAGCGTCTTCCTGAAATTTCCTGGATACCCACTGACTATCACACAAGTGTAAACGAATACTTCAAAGTGATTCCACAAATTCCGTAATAAATCTCGATTTCAATAGACGTGAAGTGGGTTTACGATAAAACCACATACTACTCGCTTGCCTCCACCATCGGAAGTATCAACGTTACGCACCTTCCCTTTTAAAGGTCATTCGCATGCCACCGGTCGTCATTTACCTCCGTCAGGTCGGCTCCGGCAGTGGGTCAACTCGGCCGCTCTTCGGGTGCATCAAGCGACTTACGAAGCTGCGTGTCATTTGATCTTTTCGAATCCCGACCAACTTGACTTGTATAGACGTTCCCCAGGCGGTCGATAACGACAAACGGCCCTTGCCGTCGGCTGCCTAGTCTCCGAGATCCAAGTCCACTAATTCCAGGATTCTGATGATCCTTCCACTTGACCTTCGCGCCCATGGGGAATGTTCGCGCCTTCTACGTGCCGTTCCCTGCCTAGACCTTGCCTGAACGGCTGTCAAGTTCTCTCGAGCTCGCGTTCTTTTTTCTCTAGACAAGCGTGTTGCCGACCACAACCCAATTTCCTGATCAACCGGAAGGTACGGATATTACGGTTTCACGGATTGATATACACAGGGTCGAGGCTTTTGCCCAACATTCCCGGGTCGGTTTTGTTCTTATCGTTCAGCGGCTGTCGTTCACCCGAAAGGCACAAGTGAGAAAATGTATAGCAATGCTCTTTATGTTTTCAGCGTTTGGGCAGTATGCTTGCCAGTTTAAGGAAACGCATAAGTAAATGTCTAGTAGTGCTTTGAACTGGGTTCAAGAAGGAGCGTGGTTCAGCGATGAAAGCCATGTTGGCCAAGCTTTGCCGCAGGCTATTGGCATACCCAAATTGAGTTCGCCGAAACTATAAGGTTTTCGAAGTCTCTAGTTTAATGGGGAGTTAGTCTAATCAATTTGCACCCTCGCGTGACATGTTACACGTAGCATTTTGTTTAAGTGACCGAAATGTCAAGGTCATTGACCATCACCGATTTGTATTTTTTGCTGGTCTACGCGGCATAAAACACGAAACCGCACTTTAGCATATTTTTACGTTTCTCTGTGTTCCTGAAGAATAAAATAACATCTTAATAGTATAGGATCAGTCGTAGGCGTTTGTTTGCTTTAGATACCTCAGATTTAACAAATGGAATATTTTTGTTCGACGAACCTGTTCAGAACACATTTTCCTCATGGATCCAATAAGTGCAATAAAGTTAGATAACAGCACAAAATGGCAGTGGCAGTGCGAAGGCCATCTGTGGATGATCCCTTTCCCAGTTATGCATAACTAGCTTGTAGATAATACAGTGTTACGAGATAGCTGTGGGCGCCTTCCCTATTATAACTGACGTTCTATAGGTGGTGACCACCATAAAGCGGTCACGGTGACGGTAGCCGTTGTCACTCACCTCGACTACCTATTGTAGCTGCTGGATCCGTGTCTATGTGCGACGCTGATTACGGTTCCTCACATATGCGCGGCAGCCCAATCCAATGAGCAACGACGGCCCCTTGTACTCGTATCTCTACTAGTTTTCACTCATCTCAAATACCTGTTGTAACTGCTAGGCCCGCGTTTATGTGCAGCGTTGATAATGAGACTGTACCTTTGCACAGTAACATAATCCGGTGGTCAATGACGGTCTTTTATACCCTTAACTATACGCGATGCCGCTTGTCTTCGCTAGC